AATAAAAAATATTTCTTGTGTCAAAAATAAAATGAGTGATTGTTTAAGGCAAATATAAACAATAAATCACAATGCATAAAATTAAATCTAGATAGAAGCATTTTTAAAGTGGTTCGGTTTTCTCAAGTGCTTACATCCACTCCCATGAAAAGTACATTTTAATAGATTCAAGCACAACCTTCACTATACCTTTTTATGAAAGCAAGCACAACCTTCAACAATGCATTTTCATGGGAGCAAGCACAATCCTCACAAATGTCTTTTCATGGAAGCAAGCACAACCCTCACAAATAGCTTTCTAAAGTTAAGCTAGAACCTTTACCAAATGGGTTCAAAATATAAAAGTGAATGCCCTAGAAAAGCTAGATGCTAGGAAGTTTAAGTTTAAGTGTGAAGAGAACAAATATTTTCTCAAGGATTCTCAAATGAATGATTCTTCAAATCTTAATGGAAGACTAAGATGAAGGCTAGAGAAGGCAAATAAGCTTTGGGATTTCTCTTTAGGGCTTTCAAGTGAGTGCTTGTCCTTTCTTATCTCCAAAATGACTCAAGGGAGACCTTTTATAGCTAGAGTGAAGTTTAGAGTCGCTAGACACAATTTTGAATTAAATTTGGTCATTGTTGAAACTTGAGGGTCAACTACAACACTCCTAAGGTCGACTTTATTCTTCAAATTTCTCAAATTAGGGCTACATAGTCGAGAATAACTTTCCTTTACTCGATCCAATTCCTGAGAATGTGTGTAGTTCAGATCCGGGCTCATGTAGTTGACTATGGTGAATCCAGGGTCAACTATGTCTTTCATTTCCCCTCTTTTTCACACATCAGACTTGTTAGGGTCAACTATAAAAGAGCCAGGGTCGACTATGTTTATGTAATTCTTCAATTTTTCAAGCCTTCTACTTTGAGGTTAACTATATACACGCCAAGGTCGACTATGGATTTATATTCTTCAAGTTTTCCACTCATTCTACCTTTGGATCGACTTGAGCTTCTCTAAGGTCGACTTTTGACTTGCATCATGAGGATTCCTTAACCTTTTGGCACCTCTTTTCAACTATTTCTTCCTTGCCTTGTTCTTATGTTAGTTTTTGTATTCAAATGATCTTTATGTTTTGAAATGACAAAAAGAAATGACCAAAATTCATCCAAGTTTTGAAGTATCAAAGTTTTTAAAATCCCCAAACAATGTCAATTGAGTTTGAAAAAGAAAAGAAATGAAAAAGGCTTTGAAAAATGCATTCTAGTCTAAATTTATCGATACATGTTCTTCATGTATCCAAATGTATCAATAGATTTCAAAATTTATTGATACTTGTTCTTCAACGGAGTCAAAATTCAAAAGTCGAACTCAATCTATTAATACAAGCTCAAATGTATCGATAGAATTAAGACAGATTGCTCACTGACTCAAAAGTATCGATACATCTCATAAATGTATCGATATATTTTCAATCAAAGTACTTACTATCTCAAAAGTATCGATATATAGACATATGTATCGATACATTTTGAGCAAAACGTCAATACCCTTGAAAGCAAGTTCAGATGTATCAGTAAATACACAAATGTGTCAATACATCTCGACGGAATTCAAAAATAAAAAGCAATGTAACAATACATCCTTATATGTATTAATACAACATGACTGTTAGAGCCTTGAATGAAGAGAAGAACGACTATTTTCATACTAAATGCACTCTCAACTACCCTTGAAGCTTCAGGAACTATAAATACAAGCTTCTTTGGCATTTAAGAAGTTTAAAAGATTTGAAAACACAACTCAAGAGAGAAGAATCAGTCAAGATTCACTCTAAACACATTGTACTCTTCTTAAATTCTAAAAGCCTTATAGTCAAGCATTTAAACATTGTATCAAATTCTCAACTTAGCCTTTAAGAGGCATATTTGTTGCACCTATATTCTTCTCATTGTACTTACTTAAGTGGTTATACCTTAACAAATGGAAAAGGTAGAATGGTTTTGCTTTAACCATAAAAAAGCATTGCATTGAAAGGTTATGCTTAATCCACAAAAGGCATTGTATTGAACCTTGATAAAATAATAGATTTTAAACTCTTTAGTGAATGTAAGGGAGAAAACTAATAGTATGCCAATGTCTATAAAATACTTATGTCGATTTTTCTACTTTTACTTTTGCTTGGAATTTAAATTTTGTTCATTGATTAAGTGGTCAGCTAATTTGTTTATCTTCAAATATGATTAAGATAATTTCAAATGCTTAACATTAAACTCAAGATATCATGCAATTTTTATCAAATAAAAATAAGATGTAGCTATAAACTAACAGTATGCCAATGTCTATGTCTTATCATTCTAATTTAAGGCTAGTACCTAACAAAGAGAATTCAACAGCACAGATGGAATATGTAAAGGAGATTGGATGCCTAATGTGTGCCATGGTGTGTATAAGGCTAGACATTGCTCTTACAGTTAGGATACTAAGTCGATTCACTAGTAATCCAAGTAAAATGCATTAGTATGGTGTTCAAAAAATTTTAAGGTACTTAAAGAGTACAATGAACTATGGCATTTGTCATTCAGGTTCTCTTTTAGTTTTATAAGTGTTTACAGATGCTAGTCGAAACTCAAATAGAATGGATCATACCTCTACAAATGGTTGGATTATCACAATTGGAAAGGGTGTTGTTTCTTGGGATTTTAAGAACAATCTTGTTAAACGGACTCCACCATAGCAATCAAATTCATAGTCGTAGCATCTATCACCCAATAAGTGAAATGGTTACAAGATTTACTCTATGAAATTCTATTGGCCTAACCAATGACACCAATCTTGATACATTGTAATAATGAAGCTACGGTGTCAAAGGTATATAATCAAGCATACAATGAAAAGAGTCGATATATTGGACTTCGACATAGCATTGTGAGACAAAGAATCGATGATGGTATCACCACTATAAGTTATGTGAGGTCTTGTGAAAACTTGGCAGATTTATATACCAAAAGTCTGAACGAGGACTTGGTAATGAAGACTTCAAGAGGGATAGGTCTCAAGCCTACCAACTAAATCTCCAGTTGTGGGAGCTCACCTAGACACTTGTAGCCAACTTGAAAGTCTAGGGTATTGATCATTCCACCACATGGATAATTGCAACCACTAATTTATATTTTTCATCCTAAGGTGTATAGTGCTTGATTCTTGTAATGTGTATAGTAAGGTTGAACAAAAGTTCTTAATAGACCTATTACATGTATATGTTGAACTACCATTGATATGGGGGTTCTTTCATTGGGGGCTACTGATGTGAGTCGAAATGTGATTGCTTCTAGGAGCTAGAGGCTTGACTTTGACAACATTCATGAAAGGATGCAAAACACAAAGTCATAAAATGTGTTGGCAAAACTAGACATAAAGTAAGCAAGAAGCTTGTTTGTGTTTAGTGGTCTAACTAGTCAAATGAAGAATTGATGATTCAATACTTAGTCAACTACTCAATTCAAACTAGAACCAACCATATTCACTAAGTGAATGTTCAAATTTTGGATATACCTTCATTTATGCATAAGATTCCCAAGATTTTGGTATATAGTAATTTTGAATATAGTGAGAGATTGTTGGTGTGTTTTCAAAATAAAAAATTATCTCTTTATATGAAAAGTTGTAAATGAAAAGTAATGTTTTTTCGTGTAAAAAGTTTTAACTATTTGAAATTCACATTAATTAAAAAGTTGTGTCACATGTCACATAATTATGTCTCTTTATATATATATATATATATATACACTTCAATGCAAATGAATAAAAACCAAAATCTCTCCCCTAAGTTTTATATCATGGTGAGTTGATATTCTTTTATTTATTATTATTTAAGGACGGTGATTCTCATTATTGACTCAAATTTGACATTTGTGTTTTTTCTTTCGGAAAACCATTCTATATACCGACTATACAGTTTTTAAAATTTATAAACATGTTTAGAAAATTACCATATATCTATGAAACTGCAATGAAATGATTTCATTAATTAATGTAAGTATTAAATAGTATGTGACAATATTTTGAATCTGATCATATAATTTAAAAACTCTATTGTTGGTGTAAAAAAATAAATATTTTTATTTAAAAAAAAATTCAAATCAAATTCTTTGATTAAAAAGATATACACGCATCTATTGAACTACTATTAAGTCCAATTCTCCAAGTACTGAAAATCTGATATTTTCTCAAAAATTAAATTTGATCACTTGAATCCCTAATTGCTGATAATAAAAGTAAGCATATGGCACAAATGTGAGAAGTTTCATTGGAGTGAGGAGTGGGAGGGTGCTTTTCGAAAGGTGAAAGGTCGTGGAGTGGAGACTGCAGAGGCAATTCAGCGCGTCGATGGAAATTAAAAGCAATAAACATTTCTTTTATATATTTTTTGGAAGACAAATATTTTTTTTTATATATCTATGTGTTTGTGTGTTTTTATTATTTTTCATCCTAGACCTACATAATATTATTTTTTTTAATAGATTTCCTGTTTCTTGTTTATGGACCTTACTATAATGTCATAATTATCTCCAGATAATTGAATTTTTTTTACAAAAAATACATATAAAACGGGTTAACATGTAAACTGAATATAAAAATAAATATATGTTTTTGTTTTATTCATATAAGAAAAAGAGAAATACTGTGTCTTATTTTATATTTGTTTTTATTGCTTTTTACAGTTGAAAATTTGGCATAATTAAATGGTATCTTACTCATTACAATAAATATATTTTGTTAATTTACGTATAATTCACTTGTTTACATATCAAATTATATAACAATAATTTACCATAAATTATTTTAAATAATAAAGATCCTCACGTGGGTTTGTCAATACAGGGGTGGCTGGGCACTGGCTTAGCATCATTGCGAGAGAGAGAACATGAATGTAACTTTGAAGATCTGGTAATGTAAGCTTAAACTCCAACTAATATTTGAAGATTTTCAAGGCAAAATAAATTCACACTTCCTCCCAGAGATTCCAACTCATTTTCCTTCTTTGAAAGGTCTAGGTGGCAGATACCCTAGTTGATCTTTACACCAAAACATTCCAGAAACTTAATAAGCCTTCAAAAGCATATACTAAATAGATACCTTGCCAGGAAGTCCTGAAAAACCTATATACACAAAAGAGCTCCAAGGGGAAGGGCATAGGGCACAAATATATGGATTTAACTATCCATGTCTGGAACATTAACATAATGCTGAAAACTCACAGGGACATGAGGGTACGGAGATCGTCTACTGTAACTTCTTCCTGATACTTTGGGCCCTTCCTTCTAAAAGCTTCTGTTGCTAGTTTCTTCTTCCTCTCCTGCAACTCCAATACCCTCTCTTCAATGCTGTTTCGAGCAATCAGCCTCACAATCGTCACATCCTCCTTCTGCCCAATCCGGTGAACTCTATCCATAGCCTGTTCCTCGACAGCTGGATTCCACCATGGCTCCAACAAGTAAACTCTAGAAGCAGCTGTAAGGTTGATACCTGCACCTGAAGCCTTGAGACTTGCAAGCAAAACTGTCGGCCCGTCTGCTCCTGGAACTTGAAAGTTTTCAATTACTTGAGCTCTCCTTTTTGCATTCATTGATCCATCCAACCGCAAGATCTTGAAACCAGCAGCTTTCAGTGGCTTTTCAAGTAGCAACAACAGAGTTCGGAACTGAGAGAAAACAACTGACTTCTTAGTTGGGTTTTGATCTCGTGACTCCTGAAGGAGGGTTAATAAAGCAGACAATTTAGAAGATGTGATATTCCTTGATGATATTTTAGTGTGGTCAGCATCAGAAGATTCTGGAGGGGCTGAAAAGAGATCCGACTGAGATAAGGGATGACGACACAGAGGGCAGCAGGGTTTCATCCGCTGTAGGGTTTTAATGATGCAGGGTCGGCAAAAGATGTGAGCACAACATGTAATTACTACATCGTTTGGAGGAGAGATGCAAACAGGACAGTCCAAATCTTCACCGTCTTGTAGCATAGCAACCATCTTTTTCAGCAACTCTGGGTTATTGGATACATCTGTTTGGAATTGATTTACATGTTTTAATTGCACTATAAAAACAATCATTAACATTTAGGAATAATAGTTCCAAGTTTTGCTATGAAGCAGTAACATTTCCAAAAAATAAAATTAAAAATAGCCAATAAACAATTGAAAACAACATGCAATTTGAAAGAATGAACAGCAGTATCCATTAAAAGAGTGATACAACACACCCCAAAGCACATGTAATTTGACAACAACATTACGAGTAAAACCTCGAAAGGCCAAATGTACACAGGCTGACATCATACATTGGACAAAGTCAAGCAAAGCTATTAGATTCCAAATCACAATGTTTCAAAGTTTGGCATGCTGGTTTAGAAAAGTTAATCACAGATCTAAGAACATTGCTGTTTTATCACATGTCAAGCAATTTTATATTTTGGGTTATGATAATTTCCCAAACTTCACCTATTGAAGCAGGTAAGGAGCTCTTCCAGCAAGCATACAAGGGCACATTTGCTCATGGGAATCCAACTGTAGAAATGTGAACCTCTGAACACTAATCACTCTGATGCCATAAACCTAATAATGTTTTAAACTTTCACAGCCCTTTATTTTCTTAAACTGAAGCCATGCTTTTCTTAAACATGTGCAACAGAAAGATTTTTTGAGTGGCAGTATCTTTACGTCAATTGAACATTAGAAAGTATCGAGGAAATAAAGTGTCAACATCAAGATCACCGTTATTCTTGTACCAGCATACTTAGAGATCCTCACTGACCACTCTAAATGAATCCACAAATTGCTTCCTCCCAACTTTGTTAAACCCAGATATTAGACAAAACAAATTGAGCTGACATAACAGGGAAGTTACCACATAAGGCTCACCCATATAACTTCCTATCACATTCCATCTTAACTGCCTGACGATTTACTTTACCATGAACCCTAGACCCTAATACACTGTACCATCATAAATTTTATTTACAAGCTAACTTAGAATATCTACTAAAGCATCATATGCTACTGCACACGAATATGCATCCATTAAAACTTAATTTCTAGAGATTCCTTGTAAAGTCCATAAGTTTTCTGTATTCTTTTATTTTATACCTTCAATTTCCTTCTAAATGTCTTCCCCTTAAAAAATTTACAATAACAAATTAACATATTCAAGCATTGTCCTCCAAAAATTGCCTTATCGCTGCCTAATGGATTCAAACATTCCCCTACTACAGGTGGACTTCTGAGCACCAGTAACCTTAATAAAAGATTCAATTACAAGACAAATACTTCTTTTTTTTTCAATTTTTTCTTCATGGTTGCACATGAAACATCATTGTCTTCCAGGAGCTGCAATACTCCAGAAAAACATAAATGAAATCTGCATGTAGAAATCATTAATTCCTTATAACCCACAAACTATTTCGGCATATTGATACGACAAGTTTCAAGATGTTAATATAGCCTAAATATCCACAAGTTCTTCAATCAGAACAATCCTTGCAAAAGCAGAATTCTGCCATCTCCCTTTCACATTAACCACTTAACATGGAATTTCTTTCCCTTCTTTAGTGGAAAGCAAAACCTTAACTAACATATGATACACAGAAACTGTCAGAGTTTAAAAGAATTAATGTATACTTCAAACCCCAATCTCTGTTAGAGCAAGCAACCAAGTTGAATCTCCAAAAAATAACAATCTTTCAAAGAAGTACTAAATAAAGTTTAAGGGAACCTTAAGAAATGACAAGGAAAATGAGTATTATCAATTCTAAAAACTTTGAATACCTTCAATATAGCTAGATGGGAACACGGCTCTGAGATCCGGAGGTAAAAGGGCCAGATTAGTACAAATCTGCCGAAGTCGTAAAAGTATGCCAAGCACAGTTGAATAGTTACGCACTAGAGTACCATCATTAATGAACTCCTGGATAACACTTTTGGCCTTTCCTTCAATCTGATCGTAGACTTCACGTTCTTCTACAGAAAGCTCAACATAACATGTTTGTAATGTTTTAGGTGGCAATCCAATCAAGGCATTGCCCTTTGTTCTCCGCAAAGAAATGCTTGCCATCAGAATCTGGAAATTTTTTAAGTTGTAAGAAATCAATATGCATAAGAAGGAATGAAACCAAAAGGAGTCTATGCTACATAGAGGTCTTGATGTAGAACATGTAGGGAGAACTGATAGAAAAAAAGCAAATGTAGAGGGAATATCAGAAATAAACAGAAGCAATTAGCGAGGAACAGAGGAAATTGAGGGAGAAACAAAAGAACAGCAGAAACAAAAAGTCAATAGAGGGAGAAAATCTCAATAACAACACCTCAAAATATTCATCGTCGAAAACCTAATCAAAACTAAAATAAAATTGGTGTTAATAACCAAACCCAAAATCCATGATAAAATGTAAAATACCAAATATACCTCTAAAACCCTAATACTAGTAAAAAATAAAATACTGATTAATACAAAATTATCTAATATATCCTAAAATTATATATAAGTTACGATTAAACCTATAAAATATAAGATAAAGTCCTAGATAATTTAACCCCTCAACTAGCTTATTTCCATCCACCATCAGGTCTAAGTGGGCTACTTGCCAACTATCATGTTCAACTCAACAACTCTCGAGTAGTAGTCAAGTTTGATAATTCAAGTAACAGTTTTCGTTTTTTAATACATGACTCAAATAACTTATAAATCTATTCCAAGTAGTTGATTTCTTAAAATGCTTTACACACACATATTTATATGTATGCATGTATGTATAATATATATTTATATAACATCACTATATTCTCCATTATATTTGCCTTTTTTATCTCAATTATATGTGGTAATTGAGTCGAATTGATTTCAAGTGTGCCAAAAATCTATTTCAAGGAAATTCCAAAATTCATGCAATTTGTTGTGTTCATCCAACTTGACCTGATTATACCACTATTCTTGCAACATAAAATGAAACAACACCCCCCTCCCCACCACTCTCCAGCCAAAAAAAAAAAAAGGAACCAAAAGGAAAAATAAAAAGAGACCAAGAAATTGAGTTCATGAAACATGCATTGAGATCAAGCATAGGAAGTGATTGCCTTTTGATTAATCACATACTCTTGCTTGGCTTAAGAATTTAATCATATGGCCTCAATGTATATGTACTATTTCACTAGCAACTGTCTTATGTTATTGAAGCATTATCATCTTGAAAATAGTTTATTTTTGAAACACTAAAACTTAATCAAGGGTTTAGAATACTTACTGCTTCAACAAAAAATAACACAGCATTCAAGTATTAAACAATGCTTGCAAGAACAGAGCTAATTATGAAACCTACATTATATCATGATCTTCCATTTTCTTGATCTACTCAAATGCAAGATTCAAAGAAGCAAGGCTACCTAATATAATTTAGTGTTTCTTTTTTCCAACTGAGGACTATTGCTATATGATCCTAAAGCATAACTTATCATCTAGAAAAGAAAAATTAAATTCTAAAACATTAAGAATTTAGTTATGTGCATGCTTGTCGAAGTGATAGAACTAGGAAAAAAATGAAAACCTCAAGCAGCCCCCTCAAACAAGTAATATCAAATATATGATATCAATAAATAAATTATTTCAGGAAGAGGCAAACAAATTCATGTTTGGTCAGGCATGCAATCATGTCAACAAACAAAACATGAGGAGAAAATGTAAAAAAGTAAAAAAAGGAGGAGTGGGAGGGCAAAAACATGGACTCCTGTTTAAAACCCAATAATTGTAGACAATCCATTCTTCAAGTCCTAGTGAGGATATGAATTATATAAGAAGTATTACTAGGAATATGATTACCTGAAGACGAGAGAGCCCGTTCTTATTACCCTGAGCAAGGGGTCGTTGAACCAAACTTCTCCAATAGCTCTTGATAGAAAATGGTTCAAACCGCAAAAATGCCATCAAAGAGAACAAGTCAAGTGAACCATTCTGGATGGGTGTTCCTGTAACAACCCATCTACATGTGGCCTTCAAACTAGTGACAGCTTTACTCTGTTGAGCATTTGCATTCTTAATCACATGTGCCTCATCTAAGATGACTCGCCACCACTCCATCCTTTTCATAGGGGAGTCTAACCAAGATTCTTCAGTTGCCAAAGTACTATAAGTTGTCAACACAATATCGTACTTCTTAAGCTCCTCAACCTGTTTAGTTCTCTCTCCATAATACATATACACCTTCAATTTTCCCGGATTAGTGTGCTCTTCTAGCTGTGTTATCCATGATGAAAACACAGAGGGAGGACAAACAACTAAAGTTGTTCTTTGGCCTAAAACACTAACACACTCATCAATTGTGTTCACAGATTTCCCCTTTGGATTTCTGGCAAGTTTGGTATCCTCAGTCTTACGCCCTTTTTGTGTTCCAGTACCCTTCCTACTAACTCTACCCCTCTTTCCCTTTTTAACATCCTCCTCAACAATCTCTTCTATACCAGCATCACCAGAACATGAAACAAAACCACCAAATTTATCGAATGCAATCAAAGAAAGCAAAGTTAGTGTCTTACCTAACCCCATATCATCAGCAAAGATCCCTCCGCGCAATGGCTCAGGACGTTTATCAGTCTGATAATTCGTCAGCACATTTACAAATTCCCCACTTTTCTCCTCCCAAAAGGGAGGCAATTCACCCGAATTCTCCCTATGAAGTAACCATCCTAGACCCTCCTTCTGGTGCAACAAAAGCTGGGATTTAATAACCTCATGCGAAGGCTCCACAGTTTCCATTGTCGCCTTCTTTCTAACATTCTCATCTACCAACTTGAAAACCTTATCCACACTCTTGAACTCTCCTCCACCCTTGCTTCCCTTCACGACAGCAGCCTCAGACAACGTGAAAGATACGTCAGATTGGGAAATTAACTCCAACCCACCTCGAGAAATGGCGGATTTAACAGTACTAAAGGCTTCTAATGTTGCAAAAATGTGAACTTGGCATGGGATTTTAAACTTATTACTACCACTACGAGAATTAGGCACAATCCCTTCGACGGAAATCAAGTGAGAGTCTATCAAAGGCGAAAGAACGGCGGCAACGGAGCGCTCGATATGACCGACTTGAAGGGTTCTAGTGTTGAGAACTTTGATCGCGTTCTGGTCGTAAGGGTTGAGAGGTTCTCGCACAAGACCCACCATTTCTCGACCGCTGATTTTGCCTCTGTAATACTGAAGGCCTACTATGTTGGCGAAGACAAAGCCAAGCAAGAAAGAGTCGGAGGAAGGCTGGGAAGAGGATTCTTGATCCTCTGGCCATTCATCTAAAGACAAAAAAAGAGGAATAGGGTCCGCCGATTCTTCCATTGGAACTGGGGGCTTTGGGTTTTGAACTTGGGAGAGAGAGAGTGAGAAATGACTTTTTGAATGGCAATGGAAAGGCGGGGCTTTCGCCTTTTCTTTCCAAAACGTTAGTACGACTGTACGAGTTAAAGCTGAACCCCACCTCCTTCTCACCATACGAGAAGGAGCACCGTATTATGCAATACACACTAAAGAATTTTTACGTAATTACGTCATATCCTACCTATTTTAATAAGTCTATTTTGTTATTTTATGTATTTTTATCTAAATCTAAAGTCTATATACTTTAGCCCTCAGAGGTACTTTGAGCGTGACACATGTCTGTGGCATTTTCTAAAATGTCAGGGGAAATCTCGAGGGTGTTTTGGGCTTTTCGTTTATGACAGCGAGGATGTTTTTGACTCTGTGCTCTTTTTTTGGCACTTTGATCTTCTTTCTTCTTTTCTCTACCACGTCTACCATCAATGGCATTTTCTTCTTTTCATTTTCCCTTTTAACTTTCTCCTCACGAACACAATTGCTTTCCTCTCTTCTGCTGTTCTCTGAAAGCTTCCCGATCCCTAAATCTTTATGTTCTCTTCTTCTACTCTCATTAAGTCACCCCTTTCTTCATTTTGCCCACAAGGACTTTCGACCAGTGCATTGCCCAACCTAGCATTAATTGCCTTTCTGGTATTCCATCAATGTAAGACAGTTTAGATATGTAGTTAAACTCTGGTCTTCTACTTTCTTCCTAGCCTCCCCTTCCCTCTAATTGAGTCGTCTCTTCTTCACTTTACCCATAAAGACTTTCAACCCAATAGCAGTTGCTTTTTATGGTATTCCATCAATTTGGGATTGTTTGAATATTTAGTTAAACTTTATGATCCGGTTGAGTTTGTGAAACTAATTTGTAGCACTTCCATTTTGTTCACAAGTTTGTGACAATCTTTTATCGACTCTGCAACTTTGTCCTTTGACATATTGCCTTGGTTTTGGAAGGTGAGTAACTTAGGTGTTTATTTATTGGATTTCCTTTTTTTTTTTTTGTTAATTTTCACTATCTTATTTTTTAGTTTTAAAATTTAACAATGTTTTGATTTGATAAAATTAAATTAATTAATATTTGTACACAAGCATTTAAAAATGATTTGATTTACTCTATTAACTCTCTAAAGTCTTAGAAAATGTTTAACAAGTCTTTTAACACTTGGAAGAAATCTAAATCTTTCAAAACATTGAGTTTTCAGCTTTAAGGATCGACATTCTCATGATGAGTGGTCAATCCTAAAGGGAAATGAAAAGCAAACATGGCTTCTAGACAAGGATCGACATCCCTAACAGAGAAGTTCGATCCTAGGCACATAAAATGAAGAAAAAAGCAACTAGAAGCACTTAGGATCGACCTCCCATGACATGTAGCTCGATTTTGAGACAAAATGCAAGGAGAGTACTAGAAGCTAGGAGGATCGACATTCAACAAGGAAAGCTCGATCCAAGAAAAAGGCAAAAATGAAGTGAAGCTATAGGATGTTTGGAGAGTCGACCTTCACAATCCAAAGCTCGATCCTTGAAGAAAAAAGATAGAAAGAATTCAAGCCTGTGGAGCTAGGATTGACATCAACATTTAAAGGCTCGATTTTACAATGTAAATCAATAAAGAAATTCAAATCAGGATCGACCTCCTCAAACACCAAGCTTGACCCCAAGGTCACAGTAGACCAACATTTAATGCTCCCAACGACCTCAGTTTAGACTTCAATGGCTATCATTGATAAAAAGGCTATTAAAGCAAGCTTCCTACTGTTTGTCGGATAAATAATGCAAGTGCATGTATCGTAAACTAATAACATAATGAAAGTAAAGTTTATTCTCACGGATAATTGTACTTGATCTATTGCTATTTTTGTCAAGTTCTAAAATTGGCACAATCTAATTTTATTCAAACAACCAAAATTAGAGATACTAAAAATTAAAAAAAAACTAAAATTAAACTGAAACTAAAAACAAGAACTAAAGCAAAAATAACAATAATCAATTAACCAAAAGTTTAGAATCACAATATCCCTTTAAATGTTTCATCTGAATTTCTTTATGCTTTCTTTGCTTACTAGATAGGCTTGACTTGTTAACCTAGAGATTAATTTATTTATAAGTCATTGTTGAGTTTCTTATAAAAATATCTATCTCAACCAATTGACTATATGTCTATGCAAATTGAAATTAAGAAAGATTTATTAAGAACATACTTTAATTTTAGCTACATATGACATGTATTTGTATGTCTACCCTACATGTGAATCAAATCAATCATCTCATACAATTGATATTGAACATATGTTATTTTATCCATGACTTACTTTAAACTCCCACTTTCAGTTTCGTTTAGGTTTTTAAATTAATCTAATTGGTGATCACGCAATTAGAAGTAGTAAGAACAAGATTGAAATAAATAACTCAAATATTATCAATCATAAGCAAGAAAAACTATTAAAAACTTGAAATACGGATTGAGTTCAATTGTGATTCTAGATTAAAAACTTAGTTCAACATAATGTATGTAAAATATCATCCAAAAAAGTATAAATACTAAAAACTAAATAAGAAAGTATAAAGAAAACTAAAGAAGAAAAAATCTCCAAGATTTGTCAATTCTTTAATCTAAAATTCCTCCGAATTCCTTGCCTTTTTGCTAACTTTAATGCCTTTTTTTCTTCAAAAAACTATTACTTAACTATTGCTTTTTCTCTCTCTTTAGTCTCCTTTTTTACATGCTTTTAAAGGAGGGATTAAATGGGGCTTATGCTTGTGTCAAAATAGAAGTCTGATGGCATGAGAACTCCTTTCCCTTTGCAAATGTTGCTATTTATTATTATTATTATTATTATTATTATTATTATTATTATTATTGTTATTATTATTATTATTATTATTTCAAAATTCTTCTTCAAGCCCCAAGGCACTGGGCAGTTGATGGCCATGATGTCGAAGCTTTTTAACATCTAAGGCATCTTTATGGATTGGGATGTCATGCCACCCAAGGCTCTGCCTTGCTCACCTTGGTCTATGGCACTACTTTGACTTCAACATGATTTTTGATTTCTTTCTATGCTGAATTGGGTAAAGTGGTAAACTTGTAAGTTGTAACTCTATCTTTTAGCTTTTCAATAATTTAACAATCACATCAATTGGACTTCTTTAGTGAAAAATATGCTTGAAATACCAACATATGTGTAGTTAAAGTTTGCACCTAAAATGCATTTCCTTCACAAAATAGATCCTCTTTCCAAAACACACTGACCAAACCGACAAACTAACTTAATTAATAACTAAACTTAAAGCAAAACATCATAAACTAACTTATATAATGGAACTCAATATAATTAAATTAAATTAAATAAATGACTGAAAATAACTAAACTTAATTCTTAAGAACTTAAACAACATCACCAAAAATCATGACTTAATAACTATGTAAAATAGAGTTATCATCCACTCATTTTGAACAAAAAAAAGGCTCTAAAAATCATTCAAACACTTGAGAAAAGCTCCAAGATCATTTATCTCTTCTAATACCTCATTTAAGTCTTTTTTCAAGCATTCATTATACAAAAATTCCTGATATTTCTTATACCCATCTCTTTCAAGCTCAAACACTTTGCTTGAGTGGTTATACCTTAACCCAAGTAAAAGGTACAAAGGTTGTGCTTCATCCATAAAAGGCATTATATTGAGAAGTTGTGCGTGGTCCTTGACAGGCATTGTAAAGGTTATGACTGAGCCTTAAAAAGTATTGTTTTGTTCATAGTGGGTTTAAAATTCCTCAGTGAGCTAAGGAAAAAGATGTAAGCAAGGAGGTTGAACCTCTACAAAAATATCGTGTCTTTGATTTTCATTTTCTTTTCACTTAACATTTCAATCTTGTTTCAAAATGAAAATCAATTTTCATTAAAATTGCAAAAAATTTTCAAATAGCCTAATTCACCCCCTTTTAGATTTATTCATTTGAGCTTATTACATTGGCAATTAGTACCAGAACTGTTACATCCCATTTTGTGGTGGAATGTGATCGGTGCATGGACCCAAGTGGGTATTGTCAGTTAAAATTCTACTACGCAAGTATACGTATCGA